GAGGTAATCTGGCCAATCCCCACTCCTATTTGCAGTGTCTGAATCAAGTCTAAAATTGATATCTTCAGACTATACAATTCACACGGGTGGTGGCTTGGTAGTACATCAGGTGACTGGCATGCAGAAGGTCCCAGGCTCAGTCCCTACCACCTCCAGTTAAAAGATCTGGCAGCAGGTGATGTGAAAGCCCTCTGCCTGTGACCTTGGAGAGCTGCTGCCAGTCTGAGTAGCCAATACTGACTTTAATGGACCAAGGGTCTTACTCCATATAAGGTGGCTTCATGGTACATGTGTATACTTGTTCTCCTGTCCCTTTATTGTATTTTATTCCAGTTTATTTCTCTCTGAGAATCAAGGTGGACTACATGGTTTAAAACAACGCAGTAAGAACAATAGGAAAGACACAACCGACAGTGAATGTGATCGGCTTCCAAAATTAGGGAGTCATGCAGGGGTCATTTCGTAGAAAAAGAGCTAGGGAGACTCATTAGCATAACTCATTAGCATATGCCACACCCCCTGACATCACCGGAAGTGTGTCCTCCCCACAGTCGGCGGCGACCTCCAGCGGGCACCAGCAGGGAGCTCCAGGCCCCGCCCTCCCGCACCTCACCCGGGGGGATGGCGTCCCCCCGCGTCCCCCCCCAAATGACCCCTGGAGTCATGTACTAAAATTGTATCATCCACATCAGTGGGATTACTCCAAAGCACCATTACCTCATCCCAAGTGAATTGCCATGCTAGAACTAAAAATGTAAGTATTTCTCCTGCTGATTAAAATAACCAAACCTATGTCAAAGCTCAGCGGATGAAATGGGTTTACTTAATTTTTTTTTTAAAAAGAACATAAAAGTTAGTCAAAGAATTCCATATAGGAGCCCCCTCCCCGAGTATTCTTCTGTCAACTCTAATTTTTTTTGTAACAGCCCTTCTCACGTGTTCCCATGACTTGTATCTGTGTCTAAATTGTACCCAGATTTTAACAACTTGTCTGACGGCCAAAGTAGATGTGACAAAAAGTTGCACATAGATTCATATGTAAGTAGGTGTTTGGTGTGGTAGGGTATTTCTCCCACAATGGAACAAGTGGACGAGAAGCTAAATCTTGCCTCTTTTCTCCTTCCCTAGTTGCCTTCATTATCTGAAGCATTTTTCCTTGCCCTGCCATGAAGAAGGCTGGGGAAAAATGCCTCAAACAATTAAGCATAGCAATTTAGGGAGGTGAAACTGGCAGGCTTTATCTCCTCTCACTGGCATGACAGCCAGAGTGGCATAGAGGTTAGATTGTTGGGCCCAGGTTCAAACCCCCACTCTGCTATGGAAGCACAGGATGAACCCGGGCTGGCCACATACACTCAGCTTAATCTGCCTCAGAGGGTAGAAAAAGAAGAACAGACTGGATTTATACCCCAGCCTTCACTCGGAGTCTCAGAACAGCTTACAATCTCCTTCCCTTCCTCTCCCCACAACAGACACCCTGTGAGGTAGATGGGGCCGAGAGAGCTCTTGGGAGAACAGCTTTGAGAGAACTGTGACTGATCCAAGGTCACCCAGCTGGCTTCATGTGGAGGAGTGGGGAATCAAACCCGGTTGTCCAGATTAGCGTCTGCCACTCTTAACCACTACACCAAACTGGTAGTTATGAGGATATAAAATGGAAGAGAGGAGAGAGATATAAGCTGGTTTGGGTCCCCACTGGGGCGGAAAGCAGGGTATAAGTGAAGTAAATAAATAAGTGTTCCTGTGGGGCACCTGCACTCTTCCTAGCAGGGCCTACTGGTTATGCCGCTTCTGTCTAGGATGTGCTCTGTAACAGTCCAGGCTTTTTCCTTAGCTGCCCCGCCCCTGTGGAACATCCTCCCAGGAGAACTCAAGAGTGACTGCTGTCCTCCTGGCTTTCCATCAAAGCTATATAACAGAACTATTCCACAGAAGCACTCCAAGAGATGTGAATCCAGGCAACTGGGCATATGTGCGTAAGACGGCATTTTTTAAGTGGTAGTTTGAAATGTTGCTTTAAATGTATTTTTAATCTTTGTAATTATGTGTTGGATCCAGTCAGCTTTTCCACTGGAGAAAAGGGGAGGGAGTCCCCTTTGAGAACCAAGGGGGGGGG